CTCCATTGTAATTTTACATATGAAAAATGTAAATTAATACTACATATACAACATTTTCATATAATATGATGTGACAAAATATAATTGGGTGAAAATTTATATTTAATTTAAAATCAATCAATCATCTTTTGCCACATTATGCTGTATAAAAATGTTGTACATGTAATATCATGCATAAAAAATTTATAATGGGATGAAGACACATGTGGGAGATGCGTGTGGACTGTAGAGGCCCCCCCTTGGTTGGTGTAGATTATAATAAATAATAAATATTATATATATTTTTAAAAATATTTTAATATTAAAGTTTCGATTAATTATTTGATTAATTGAGTATATAATTAGAATTATGATCCAATTAAAAACGTTTTAATATAATTAAAAGAATTATTTTTTAATAAAATAGTATATTTGATTGAATAATGTTTAATTATTTACTTTAATTATAAAGTTCTAAGTATATTTATAATAAATTAGTAATTAATTAATTATATACAATGAATTGATAAATAGTACTACATTACTTAATTGAATGATTGGATATTTAATTAATTAAATATTATAATATGACAACTCATGCCTTGTGATATATTAAGAAATGTAAGTGTTTTTTAATCAACAATACCATAAAACAAACTTAGAGTCTAGTTATTTAATTAAAGATTCATAAATAATATTTATATCAATACTTAATTTGATTCTTTTATTACAATTAATGTTAATTTAATTTATGGGCAAATTCAAAAACTTCATTTTCATTCTAGTAATTATATATATAATTTAATAATATTGGATAATAAAGTTAATGTTTTGGTTTTGATTGAGAAATTTTGTGAAATTGTGATAAATTGATTAAATTCAAGTGTTGCTTAGAGATTAGAGAATCTGTGATTGTGATTGAACATAAATGAATGAGTAATGAAAGATTGAAAATTACTAAATGAAGGTTTTCTTAATTTATCAGGGGTGTATTTGTAAAATTTTAAATTAATAGGGGGTAATTGATTTTCACATGGTACCCGGGTAAGGAACTAAACTTGCATTTTAGGTTTCGGTTCTAGGAATCTAAGAATCGAAACCGACAAGTTCTGGTTCCTTTTGCTGGGAATCGACGGATTTTGGTTCCCTAAAAAATTGCAGAGTACCCATAATTGCTCACCCCTAATAGTATTAATTGTTAGCTAATTTAAACAAATAATTAAATGGGAAAAAAATATGTGTTAGGTCCTAGATAGGCCCAACTATAGTTGGCTCCACATCAAAACCCATCGGCAGTTAGTACTATGCCAAGACCCAACCCCGATTGGTCCCTCATCGAAGCCCATCCCGTAGCAGATCCACTCTACGATCTGAGATGTCTTACAAATTGAGCCCATCTATGAGTCGGGCCACACTACGAGTTGGGTCATCCTAAGCTCTGGCCCATCAATCGCACGATTGGTCATCGACTCTATATATCAGATTCTCTAACTAAGTCTCAACTAACTTCGAGTCTCTAGTCCTGTAGCATGAGACTCAGACAAATGTTGCAATGTTCTCCTTAAGATTGGTGACGTAAACCCATTACTCACCCCTCAAAAAGACTTCGAGTCTCGTGGGAGCCTAAACCTCCCAAGCCTCCTATAAATAACAACGCTGACCCTCTCATAAGGGACCTCATAACTTATTCATAACTAGAGGTGGGCAAGGGACCGGTCCCTTGCGGGCCCAAGCCTGGGCCCGTTTGGGACTGGTCCCAAATGGGACCAGTCACTCATGGGCCTGAGACCCCATGAGAAAAACCAGGACCCTGACCAGGCCCTAGGCCTGGTAGGGACTGATCCCATGGGCCCAGGACCGGTCTCATGGGCCTTGGATAATTTTATTTTTCTCCCTCAATTTTTTTTATATTTTGGGGGCAAAATGAAATTTTATAGGGGGTTTTTAGTATTTTTTAGGGGTAAAATTTATAAAATTTATAAATTTTTTAGACCTGGAAGATTTTCTTTTTTTTATAAATTTTGTAAGATTTCATTTTAGCCCTTGTAATTTATATTTATTTTGAAATTAACAGGGACTTTTATGTAATTTGGCAGGGACTACATTGAAAAAATATAAATTTTTTTGGGCCCAGGCTTGGGATCAGTCTCAGGCCCGGGCCTTAGAGGAGGGCCCAGTGGAGGGCCCGGGCCCTCCTCCTTAGGCTTGGTCCCATTTTGGGACCAGGCCTCCTAGGTCCGATCCTCTCAAGGACCGGTCCTAGGACCGGGTTTTAGAGCTGGGTGCCCAACTCTATTTATAACTTTACTTTTACACTACATAATTAACTTCTCACACTCTCGCCCATGCTTTCTTGTACCGTCGTCATTTCACACTGTAGAACCGAGTTCTNTACATTACTTAATTGAATGTTTGGATATTTAATTAATTAAACATTATAATATGACAACTCATGCCTCGTGATACATTAAGAAATGTAAGTGTTTTTTAATCAACAATAACATAAAACAAACTTAGAGTCTAGTTATTTAATTAAAGATTCATAAATAATATTTATATTAATACTTAATTTGATTCTTTTGTTACGATTAATGTTAATTTAACTTATGGGCAAATTTAAAAACTTCATTTTCATTCTAGTAATTATAATATTATATAATATTTGTATTTTTTTGATAATAAAGTTCACTAAAATTTAATTTCCAAAATTAATTTTACAACTATACTTTGATGTAAATTTTAATTATATATATATATAATAAAGTTAATGTTTTGGTTTTGATTGAGAACTTTTGTGTGAATTGTGATAAATTGATTAAATTCTAAGTGTAGCTTAGTGACTAGAGGATCTGTGACTGTGATTGGACATAAATGAATGAGTAATGAAAAATTGAAAACTACTAAATGCAGGTTTTCTTAATTTGTCAGGGGTGTATTTGTAAAATTTTAAGGTGTATGTGTCAAATTTTAAATTAATAGGGGATAATTGATTTTTTACATGGTACTCTGGTAAGGAACTAGAACTTGCATTTTAGGTTTCAGTTCTAAGAATCTAAGAACCGGAACCGATAGGTTTTGGTTATGGTTCCTTTTGCTAGGAATCAACGGGTTCTGGTTCTCTCAAAAATTGCAGGGTACCTAGAACTGCTCACCCCTAATAGTATTAATTGTTAGATAATTTAAACAAATAATTAAATGGTCCTAGATAGACCCAACTATAGTTGGCTTCACATCAAGGCCCATCAGTAGTTAGTACTATACTACTATGCCAAGACCCAACCCTGATTGGTCCCTCATCGAAGCCCATCCCATAGCAGATCCACTCTACGATCTGAGCCATCTTACGAATTGAGCCCATCTATGAGTCGGGCCACACTACGAGTTGGGTCATCCTAAGCTCTGGCCCATCAATCGCACGATTGGTCATCGACTCTATATATCAGATCCTCTGACTAAGTCCCAACTAACTTCGAGTCTCTAGTCACGTAGCATGACACTCAAACAAATGTTGCAATGTTCTCCTTATGATTGGTGGCGTAAATCCGCTACTCACCCCTCAATGAGACTCCGAGTCTCGTGGGAGCCTAAACCTCCCAAGCCTTCTATAAATAACAACGTTGACCCTCTCATAAGGGACCTCATAACTTATTCATAACTTTAATTTTACACTACATAATTCACTTCTCACACTCTCACACATGCTTTCTCGTACCGTCGTCATTTCACACTGTAGAACTGAGTTCTTACCACTTTACGGTGATTATTGTGCCATAGCACCATGCTTACAGTGACCTCTACCATCTCTATCTGGTTCTCTACTTACTTAACTCTCTTTCAATCATGCTAATTTGAGCGTTGGAGTATCTATAGCCAGCACCACACCAGTGTAAAAGACTTCACATTCATCTTGCCTTTCTTTGTGTCTCTATTTGCAAGTCTATTGGGTTGTTAGTGGCCTTAATCTCACAAGAATCAATAGTAGAGTTATGACCATCTATAGTAATATGTAAATAATTATCCGAATAAGCAAAAATATAGCGTGCAGTACAGATAAATCTAAGTTGATAATTAATCTTCACTATTTTAGTAAACTTAAAGAAATAGCCTTGTTAATACAAATCATGACTGTAATCCACTCTACCACTAATATCATTACAAATAATCATTTGGATTAATACAAATCATGTCACATTCAATGCACAATAAACACTTAAATTAAGTTACACGAGTAGTATGAACAACCAAATACACCCCCCCAATTAAATTACATGAAAAAACCAACTTACGTATTATACACCCCAATCACATTTATCTGGTTGAGATCCAAATATTATATTAATTAATAAATAAATAAATATAGTACTTAACCAATTAATTAAAGAAATAAACGTGCATTTGACAAACTGATCCGTAAACATCATGGCCGTCACTAACTCGTGAGCAATAATCAATCATCATTCTCATTAATTATATAAGCCGGCAGCAACATTCTAAGTATTCCATCCTTCCACGTGTGAGCCTACTCACTGTTGTGGCGCGTGTGTTAGCGTTTCTCTTTCAGCGTAGTAGGTATCGGCAGTTCCAAGATACCTCACATCATCACCTAATACTATGACGTCATAAATCCTCGCAGCCCACCATAAATATATTCATAATAATAATACATTTACGATTACCACTGTCTACACGTGGATGTAAATCTCCTTTGGACGGTTCAGAATTCAGGGGTATTTTAGTCATTTTCACTTCTGATCCTTATTGCATGCGATATGCAGATGCTGTTGGATACAAAAGCCACCTAGTGGCGCACTTTACGGTGTTGTCACACGCCGTATTTTTATACTATTCGTAATTCTGTACTTCTTATCGCACGCGCTTTATCTTGTAAACTAGACTGACTCGCTATCTCACGCGTTCTACTTTTAATCTAACGGGGCGTGTATGTGTGACAAACTGTGTAGCGAGTGAGAGAAGGATTTTCGTAAAATACGTGTTTTTAATTTGAAACTTCTTTGATTTGAAAATTGGGAAAAAGAAAAATAAATAAAAGGGTGAGTGAGTGGGAAAACACCAAAAGAGAATGAGAGAGTTCGCCGAGTCTTGAAGCATCATCGTGCATGCATTTTTGAATTTACCAAACTCTTATCTCTTTCTTGTTTCTGTTACTTTTGCATGCACATATGGTCTTCTCTTTCGTTTCATCGCCGATTCAGCTTTTAACGACGTCGTGGTTATCCTGTTTGATTTTCAAACGAATTTAATTGAAGCCGTGGGAAAAAAAAAGAAAAAAGAAACGGCTGAGAGCACGACAGTCAGAGGAATCAAATATGGAGGTTGAGTGTGACGTGTGAAGTAACTCGTGGTGTCGTTTAACAGGTAGTGAGGTTAGCTAGAGGTTGGTTACTTTTTTGTAGCTCGTGGTTTCATGTGAGTGAAGCTGTGGATTTAGTTGACCAATTTTGTGTGCTTTGTGTGATGCGTTATTGAAAGAGGGATTATTAGGGATTTGTCTTGTATGGTTCGAATTAGGTTGGTGAAATTTTCAGATTGAGCTGAAGATAAATTATGGAGGCGAAAAGTTGCATGAATGAGGTGTGTGGAGCGGCCAAGTCCACTGAGTGGAGGAAAGGTTGGGCTCTGCGATCTGGCGAATTCGCTGTTCTATGTGATAAGTGCGGGTAATTTGCATTTCTTTCTCTCTTCTTTTATTTTTATCGTAAAATTTGGCAATAACAACATGGAATTGTACGGACAGTTGCTTGATTGAGCTTATTATACATGAATGGTGTTTCGCTTGGCCATTTGCTTTCTCACTGATTTTAAACATATTTATGAATATAATTGTTATGTTGTATGTGCTATTTATTTTTATCTTTGATTTTGAATGAATTGGTTGAGTGTCTGAATTAATTTGTTATATTCATCTGTTTTCCATTTAAAAGAACTCTCGAATAAATTAAATTAAGATATCAAAATGGTTATACTTCATCAATCAAACTAAATTTAGTCCTACAATCACTTTTTACAAATGTGAATAATCAACCATTGGTTGGTACTTATCGATCATAGTTTGGTGTTTGTATATCTTGTAGGTCCGCATTTGAGCAGTCAATGTTTTGTGATGTGTTTCACTCGAAGGAGTCAGGTTGGAGAGAGTGCACTCCATGTGGCAAGGTAAGAAAAAACAGTCTTAAAAACTTGTATATATTTGCTTTCCTTCTTTCTTGACGTCTCCTACTGTTCAGTTATATGATGTACTTGATTTTGCGTTGGCAGCGTCTCCATTGTGGATGCATTGCTTCCAAGTCTTTAATTGAACTTCTTGATAGCGGGGGTGTCAGCTGTTTAAACTGCGCAAAAAAATCAGGACTTGATTCTGTAAGATCAATTTACTTTCTATGCACTAATATATGCCATCTTGTAGTGATTTACCAATATATAGCATTTAAAGTAAGTGGTTTCTTGGTATGATAATGATTCTATTTTTCTCTCTCTCGGTCAAACTAGTCTGCAAAGGTGCATGCCCATAAGTCCATTGCACATGTTCATAATCAGTGTTTAAAATGTTAGGTTTAACCTACCTTGTCTGCAAATGGTGGTAGTTTATAGTTCCTACTTCCAAATATCTTTCTTGAGGGCATATATTGGTGTTAGTCATCTATATGCATCTTTGTGCCAGAGGGATGGCAGAGTAACGAGAAGGGGTGGTGAGGCACTTGTATGAACGATTCTTTTTGCTTACATCAAATGGTTATGAACAGTGCTTGAATTTTAGGAATTAAATTGTAAAATTGTGGTGCTGATGAGGTTTGTATTCATATAGTTGGCTTGTGATGAAAAGCCCAATGGATTTGGCACCCTGAAGGCCGATAATGCTGGTGATTTGCAATCAATGTCTGTGGACAACCACGTGGGTGGTAGCGTTGAAAAAATGAAGCTTATGCAGTTGGGCAGTACTTCAAATGGTGTGGGGCTTAGACACTTGCTTCAATTTCAAAGCGATGACCCAGATGAGTCTTTTGGTAAAATGAAACTGGAGGAATCTGCCAAGCCAGACATTTCAAAGGCAAATATGGGGGCAAAGGATATTTATGAATCTCTAGCACAGACAAACTTAAGCATCACCCTTGGTTCTTCTGGAGGAAACTTGAACCCTTTTCCTGGTGTTGTTGACGAGAAGGAACATAATAAGTCATCTTCTGTAATTCAACAAGGAACTAGGGCTCGTCATCTTTTGCCTAAGCCTCCAAAGTTAGCCCTTTCCACAGGTTCAGAGGCAAATGTTGGTATATCCCAAATTCGTGTTGCTAGGCCACCTGCTGAAGGACGAGGCAGGAGTCAGTTGCTTCCTCGTTATTGGCCCAGGATTACAGACCAAGAATTGCAGCAAATATCTGGAGAGTATCCTTTTTTCTACAGTTATCAGTTGAAAATAAATCTATGACTGCTTCAATGAAGTTCTGTTATCTTTGTAGTTTTCTGCTATCTCAAACGTCGTCATTTCACACTGTAGAACCGAGTTCTGACCACTTTATGATAATTGTTGTGCCATAGCACCACGCTTACGGTGACCTCTACCATTTCTATCTTGTTCCCTACTTACTTAACTTTCTTTCAATCATGCTAATTTGAGCGTTGGAGTATCTATAGCCAGCACCACACCAGTGTAAAAGACTTCACATTCATCTTGCCTTTCTTTGTGTCTCTATTTGCAAGTCTATTGTGTTGTTAGTGGCCTTAATCTCACAAGAATCAATAGTAGAGTTATGACCATCTATAGTAATATGTAAATAATTATCTGAATAAGCAAAAATATAGCGTGCAGTACAGATAAATCTAAGTTGATAATTAATCTTCACTATTTTACTAAACTTAAAGAAATAGACTTGTTAATACAAATCATGACTGTAATCCACTCTACCACTAATATCATTACAAATAATCATTTGGATTAATACAAATCATGTCACATTCAATGCACAAATAAACACTTAAATTAAGTTACACGAGTAGTATGAACAACCAAATACACCCCCCCAATTAAATTACATGAAAAAACCAACTTACGTATTATACACCCCAATCACATTTATCTGGTTGAGATCCAAATATTATATTAATTAATAAATAAATAAATATAGTACTTAACCAATTAATTAAAGAAATAAACGTGCATTTGACAAACTGATCCGTAAACATCATGGCCGTCACTAACTCGTGAGCAATAATCAATCATCATTCTCATTAATTATATAAGCCGGCAGCAACATTCTAAGTATTCCATCCTTCCACGTGTGAGCCTACTCACTGTTGTGGCGCGTGTGTTAGCGTTTCTCTTTCAGCGTAGTAGGTATCGGCAGTTCCAAGATACCTCACATCATCACCTAATACTATGACGTCATAAATCGTCGCAGCCCACCATAAATTTATTCATAATAATAATACATTTACGATTACCACTGTCTACACGTGGATGTAAATCTCCTTTGGACGGTTCAGAATTCAGGGGTATTTTAGTCATTTTCACTTCTGATCCTTATTGCATGCGATATGCAGATGCTGTTGGATACAAAAGCCACCTAGTGGCGCACTTTACGGTGTTGTCACACGCCGTATTTTTATACTATTCGTAATTCTGTACTTCTTATCGCACGCGCTTTATCTTGTAAATTAGACCGACTCGCTATCTCACGCGTTCTATTTTTAATCTAACGGGGAGTGTCTGTGTGACAGACTGTGTAGCGAGTGAGAGAAGGAATTTCGTAAAATACGTGTTTTTAATTTGAAATTTCTTTGATTTGAAAATTGGGAAAAAAGAAAAATAAATAAAAGGGTGAGTGAGTGGGAAAACACCAAAAGAGAATCAGAGAGTTCGCCGAGTCTTGAAGCATCATCGTGCATGCATTTTTGAATTTACCAAACTCTTATCTCTTTCTTGTTTCTGTTACTTTTGCATGCACATATGGTCTTCTCTTTCGTTTCATCGCCGATTCAGCTTTTAACGACGTCGTAGTTATCCTGTTTGATTTTCAAACGAATTTAATTGAAGCCGTGGGAAAAAAAAAGAAAAAAGAAACGGCCGAGAACACGACAGTCAGAGGAATCAAATATGGAGGTTGAGTGTGACGTGTGAAGTAACTCGTGGTGTCGTTTAACAGGTAGTGAGGTTAGCTAGAGGTTGGTTACTTTTTTGTAGCTCGTGGTTTCATGTGAGTGAAGCTGTGGATTTAGTTGACCAATTTTGTGTGCTTTGTGTGATGCGTTATTGAAAGAGGGATTATTAGGGATTTGTCTTGTATGGTTCGAATTAGGTTGGTGAAATTTTCAGATTGAGCTGAAGATAAATTATGGAGGCGAAAAGTTGCATGAATGAGGTGTGTGGAGCGGCCAAGTCCACTGAGTGGAGGAAAGGTTGGGCTCTGCGATCTGGCGAATTCGCTGTTCTATGTGATAAGTGCGGGTAATTTGCATTTCTTTCTCTCTTCTTTTATTTTTATCGTAAAATTTGGCAATAACAACATGGAATTGTACGGACAGTTGCTTGATTGAGCTTATTATACATGAATGGTGTTTCGCTTGGCCATTTGCTTTCTCACTGATTTTAAACATATTTATGAATATAATTGTTATGTTGTATGTGCTATTTATTTTTATCTTTGATTTTGAATGAATTGGTTGAGTGTCTGAATTAATTTGTTATATTCATCTGTTTTCCATTTAAAAGAACTCTCGAATAAATTAAATTAAGATATCAAAATGGTTATACTTCATCAATCAAACTAAATTTAGTCCTACAATCACTTTTTACAAATGTGAATAATCAACCATTGGTTGGTACTTATCGATCATAGTTTGGTGTTTGTATATCTTGTAGGTCCGCATTTGAGCAGTCAATGTTTTGTGATGTGTTTCACTCGAAGGAGTCAGGTTGGAGAGAGTGCACTCCATGTGGCAAGGTAAGAAAAAACAGTCTTAAAAACTTGTATATATTTGCTTTCCTTCTTTCTTGACGTCTCCTACTGTTCAGTTATATGATGTACTTGATTTTGCGTTGGCAGCGTCTCCATTGTGGATGCATTGCTTCCAAGTCTTTAATTGAACTTCTTGATAGCGGGGGTGTCAGCTGTTTAAACTGCGCAAAAAAATCAGGACTTGATTCTGTAAGATCAATTTACTTTCTATGCACTAATATATGCCATCTTGTAGTGATTTACCAATATATAGCATTTAAAGTAAGTGGTTTCTTGGTATGATAATGATTCTATTTTTCTCTCTCTCGGTCAAACTAGTCTGCAAAGGTGCATGCCCATAAGTCCATTGCACATGTTCATAATCAGTGTTTAAAATGTTAGGTTTAACCTACCTTGTCTGCAAATGGTGGTAGTTTATAGTTCCTACTTCCAAATATCTTTCTTGAGGGCATATATTGGTGTTAGTCATCTATATGCATCTTTGTGCCAGAGGGATGGCAGAGTAACGAGAAGGGGTGGTGAGGCACTTGTATGAACGATTCTTTTTGCTTACATCAAATGGTTATGAACAGTGCTTGAATTTTAGGAATTAAATTGTAAAATTGTGGTGCTGATGAGGTTTGTATTCATATAGTTGGCTTGTGATGAAAAGCCCAATGGATTTGGCACCCTGAAGGCCGATAATGCTGGTGATTTGCAATCAATGTCTGTGGACAACCACGTGGGTGGTAGCGTTGAAAAAATGAAGCTTATGCAGTTGGGCAGTACTTCAAATGGTGTGGGGCTTAGACACTTGCTTCAATTTCAAAGCGATGACCCAGATGAGTCTTTTGGTAAAATGAAACTGGAGGAATCTGCCAAGCCAGACATTTCAAAGGCAAATATGGGGGCAAAGGATATTTATGAATCTCTAGCACAGACAAACTTAAGCATCACCCTTGGTTCTTCTGGAGGAAACTTGAACCCTTTTCCTGGTGTTGTTGACGAGAAGGAACATAATAAGTCATCTTCTGTAATTCAACAAGGAACTAGGGCTCGTCATCTTTTGCCTAAGCCTCCAAAGTTAGCCCTTTCCACAGGTTCAGAGGCAAATGTTGGTATATCCCAAATTCGTGTTGCTAGGCCACCTGCTGAAGGACGAGGCAGGAGTCAGTTGCTTCCTCGTTATTGGCCCAGGATTACAGACCAAGAATTGCAGCAAATATCTGGAGAGTATCCTTTTTTCTACAGTTATCAGTTGAAAATAAATCTATGACTGCTTCAATGCAGTTCCGTTATCTTTGTAGTTTTCTGCTATCTCAAACAGTCTCATCCTTGACAGTGTCCTCTTACAGCTCAAATTCTACTATTGTTCCTCTGTTTGAAAAGGTTTTAAGTGCCAGTGATGCTGGTCGCATTGGCCGTTTGGTTCTGCCTAAAGCATGTGCTGAAGTAAGTTTTAATTATACTTAATTTCAGCCAAGAAACAGATTTATAATAACTTTGTTTCCATTTATTTTTGTCGATAATTCTTGCTTTAAATTATTTAAAAATGAATAATAATGCAGGCATATTTTCCTCCTATCTCTCAACCAGAGGGCCTTCCTCTGAGGATTCAAGATGTGAAGGGAAAGGAATGGGTCTTTCAGTTCAGATTTTGGCCCAATAATAACAGCAGGATGTACGTTTTGGAGGGTGTAACTCCTTGCATACAGTCCATGCAGTTGCAAGCTGGAGATACTGGTATATTTAAATATTCCTAATTATGAAATTAATTTTATTTACTTGCAGCTTATAGTATAGATCAAATACTTTCATGCTATGGGCTTACCCAGCTATTTTTTTTTCTTGTACTTTCTATTGTTATTGTTATTTCTAGCAAGTTTGGTATTGTTTGTGACCTGGTTTTATTAGTATTTTTGTCATTTTATGTAACCTTTTTACTGCAGTGACTTTTAGCCGTATGGATCCAGAAGGAAAGCTTGTTATGGGATTTCGTAAAGCATCAAACTCTGTTGCAATGCAGGTAAAATTCGGAGTTAACCTTTGTAGTAGAAAACTTGATCATATAATGTTAATATACAATTATCAAATAAACAGGATACCCAACCTTCTGCCATTCCTAATGGTGGTCATTCAAGTGAAAGTTTCTTTTCGGGTGTTTTTGAGAACCTATCTATAATAAGTGGTTACTCTGGCGTTCTTCAGTCACTAAAGGGAAGCGCTGATCCCCACCTAAACGCATTGTCCAAACATTTGAACTCCACTTCTGGTGATATTAACTGGCTTAAATCTGAGAAGTATGAAGATAAGACAAGGGAGAGCTTGCTGCTGCCTTCAATGCTGGTACCAGAAAGAAAAAGATCTCGAAATATTGGGTCAAAAAGTAAGAGATTGCTCATGGATAGACAAGATGCTTTGGAGCTCAAACTTACTTGGGAAGAGGCACAGGATATGCTTCGCTCACCACCCAGTGTCATGCCCAGCATTATCACAATCGAAGACCATGTTTTTGAAGAATATGAAGTAAGCCATTTTGCTGATGTTGATGATCATTATGATGTTCTTGACTCTCTCCCTCATTCACTTAATGCATTTACTTTTCCCCTTGTAGAATAGCTTTTGACTTTTGATTACCAATTAGTCAATCTTTTATGAAAGTATATTCACAAGTTAGTCTTTTGATGTATTTTTCTTTTAAGGCATACCCAGAGAAAAAAACAAGGCCCTTTTCTGGTACAATATTGAGCCTCTAGTTGTCATTGCACGGTCTGGCTTCTTGAGAGTAAATGATCCATGCAAATTGTTGAAATTTTGGAACTGAGCTCACCTCTCAGAGAAATTTCGTGGACGTTACTAGTAGGTTGGTTAATACTTGCCAAACATGCAAAAATTGGCATTGAAGGATTGGGGGATAGATTAACATTTTTCCCTCATTAGGCAACATGAGCAAATTAGTGTAGCTTTGCAGAAATATGTATATGCTACCCATAAGAACTAAATATTTTCTCATATTAGACACTTGTTAGTTGGTTTTATTTTATTTTATCATGTAATTACTGAAGAATATGAGCATGCATGTCTTTATGTACTTCAAAAGATCAGTCAGTGATGCCTAATTGATCCTAGTACATAGCAAATATATATGCGATGCTTTTCTGGGTTTTTTTACCAGAAATTATGGTAACCAAAATGTTTATTATACCAATTAGTGATGAAAATGAATTACTACAATGAACTTTGATATTCTATAAATAACGGTTCCCAACGTATTTATTATATTACTGTGCACCTTGTTCTTGATTACTTTCTCATACAAAGCTTGTCAGTTTTGCATGGTCCTTTGGTTGAATAGGACTTTTGAGATGGAATGTCAAGTAATTTTCTCTATTCACCAAAATATATATTCTACTGTCATTTATGTGACTGTATCATTTCTAAAATTTTTCCTTTATCTTCATCCCTTTCAGAAACTTCGAAGTATGAGTTTAGTCTTGTTGTTCAAGGATGACCTGTGATTGATTTTTTTTTTCAGAACCTTGAATACTGACTTTCTTTTCTTGTACATTTTGTTCGTGCAGGATCCTCCAGTTTTCGGGAAGAGGAGCATTTTTGTAGTTCGTACAAATGGGTGAGGATTTTTGTTATTGATTAGTTTGTTTTCATGTAGTGCTCTGCAGATTTAACCCAATAAGAAATTAATAAATATGCAAATATCCGAAAGCTATCTGGATGTATAGGTACTGGAATTTCTTTAGCACACTAGAAACCTATATTATCTTGATATTTCTGAAATTTATGTCACTTTGTAGAAATTATTGAGGTAATTTAGAGCTAAGAAAGTTTCAGGAAATGTTGCTTGCGAATTCTCTTGAAAATTGGTGTACTAAATTGTCACATTTTTGCCTATCATCGTTCCCGTTACTCTGGAGACATAGGAAGGCCAACTTATCTCATATCCTGATGCAATCGTGTATTTCTGTAAATTATTTTGAAAGGATCTATATCTTTTCCTCAGGGTCCTGGTTGGATAAATTCATCTAATCTTGAATTACTAAGTTTGATGTTCAGGGGACAAGAGCAATGGACTCAGTGTGATGGTTGTTCTAAATGGCGAAGGTTGCCAGTTGATGTTCTTCTTCCACCTAAATGGACATGTATGGATAACAAATGGGATCCGACTAGGTGAACAATACTTTTTATTAGTATTATTTTTTTCTTGTGTAAGAAAAATGAGCCTTGAGCAAATCTTTCCATGCTAATGCTTTTTTATCCTCAGGTGTTCATGTTCGGCACCAGATGAACTGACTCCCGGGGAGCTGGAAAACCTCCTCAGACTAAACAAGGGTATGATGCCAGCATCTCTGCTTTTAAGATTGTTATATGATTATTGCAAGGTTTTCATACCTAGACTGCTCTTGAAGTAAATGAAGCTTCTGTTTACTATAAATCTATAGCAAGCTCTAGGGACGAGAATTTTCTTTTTTTGAAAATTAACAATAGTTTTATAGGCTCGTGTCTGCACAATAGGAATTCAATTCTGAATTTCTGTTTGATAACCCTGTATATCAGAGGTCCATTCCCTATGGAAGGCTGTTTTGGCCAAATTTTTTCACTTTTCTGTCTCTTCTTTGGAACATGTACAAGAAGAGAGAAGCATATAGGTTGTGGGTGGCCAACGAGGCTTGACTTGTATTTTATGCATGTGGATTGAGTTTTTCCTTTTCAACTTCAACTCTGCTCAATCATTAGGAAGGAAGCTTTTTAGATCATGAGTTTGGGATAAGTGCCACAGTTTTCGGCCTTTTTAGTGCTTTGTATGCATATATTGTCTTATGAATTATAAGTTTGTGCTCCTATATGTTCTTATACATGATAAGTGGCTGGTCGGAAGTTCTCATAGTTTGTTGCAAGTGTTCTTCTCAGATGTGTACTTGTCTGTTAATTCTGGAATACTGATACAATTGCACTTAGCTGTTGCATAGATTTCAAAAAACGGCGACTGGCAACAAGTCAGAGGCCGAATCAAGAGAGTGAACCTTCTGGTATGGATGCATTGTCCAATGTGGCAATACTTGGAGACAACATGGGTGACCCAGGCACTGCATCAGTCGCAACGACAACTAAACACCCAAGGCATCGTCCTGGCTGTTCATGTATTGTATGCATTCAGCCCCCTAGTGGGAAGGGCAAGCACAAGCCTACATGCACATGTAATGTGTGTATGACAGTTAAACGTCGATTTAAAACCCTCATGATGCGCAAGAAGAAACGCCAATCTGAGCGTGAAGCAGAGGTTGCGCAGAGAAATCAACCAACTTGGGCTCCCAAAGAGGAAGCCGAAGCCGAAGTAGACAGCAATTCTAAGCATGCATCACCACACCTGGATCCTTCAGAGAACGAAGCCAGGTCTGCAAATGAATTAGAATCCAAGAGCCAAAGTAACAATCTTCCCAACAAAGCGGCCGAAGCTGGTAAGGGACAGATCGACTTGAACTGCCATCCTGATCGAGAAGACGCACAAGCCGGGTCGAACCGCCTGAGCATGATGAAACTTCTTCAAGTGGCAACCCTTCCTTTGGAGAATTATTTAAAGCAAAATGGTCTTACAAGCTTGATGGCTGAACAACAAACAAGTTCAACATCACAGGCTCCACCCCAAGCTGCTGGGGAGAGCGAGGGACGGGTCAATGAGTTAGCTTCTGCCACTCAAGAGCGAGAGAGTGGGGGAGAAGAAGATAATAGTGGATCTGGACCAGATCAAAACCCAAATGATCCTCAATAGAAATTTCCTCATCATTTATTTATGCTGAATCGAGCACTAGTTTTGGATCTTTTTTTTTTTGGTATAATTTAAAATTATAAGTGTTCTTTTATGTAAGTCGCAATGTGTATCATATTTATACATGAATTTTACATTTACAAGAGGCACAATACTAAGGTTTTCATAATCGGATATATTATTGTAAACAAGACTTCACTAACAGTGTTAATTTAATGGTGAAAATCTGGATTCTGAAATATATGAAACCAGAGGTACGAACTAGTCATTTTGTTAAACCTGGGTGGGAACATGTTGTTTGCTCTTCAAAAAATTCAATTTTGCAAGTCTTCGAACACAATTTTTTGTTTTTTTTTTTTAAAACAAGGGATACAACAAATCTTATGAAAATGTATTTGGTAAAAATGAGAAGAATCATTTTCAGAAAAAGTTTTCAAATACAATCTAAAAAACTAGTGTAAAATTAGAAAAAGATTAAAAATCATTTTCATAGTTTTCTATAATCTTTAATTTGAAAACAATTTTTAAATTTTATATCAAACATATTTTCAATTTTTTTAGATATATTTACTAATTACTTGGGTTATTGGTATATTATTTATTGTGATAATTGTATTTTTATGTTCAGTGAAATGGCAAGTAAATAACATAATTAAAAGTTAAGATATATGGTTATTCTCACACTTTTTTTTTAATTTTTTTTTTCATTCATCTATTTTCATCTAAGAGTAGTATATATGTATAGTTTTTTACGTAAAAAAAAAAAAAAAAAAATCCGAAGTTTGAAAGTTTTACGATATATATATACACACACACAAAGTCTTTGTATGTATAATATTATTATAAAAGAAGTATTGTTACCATTTGATTGATCTTACTGTAAGGTTAAAATATTGAGTGAATCTCTTGGTAAAAGACTAAATATATAGTTGACTTTTAATTGGATATATATTAGAACTTATAATTTGTACACAGATACAATTGATTGAAATTTGAAAGAATTTGTAGGAAGAAATAAAAATAGAACATGAAAACGTAAGGGTTACCAACAATGGATCAATCTACATATTCTATCAGATAAAAACTAATGCCTTCCTTATCTAACGATATTCTCATGGCAACTGCTTGTCCACCCTCTTTTGTTTGATTTGGCTTTGGAGCTGAATTCTACGAAGAAAAGAACTAATTTAATTTAAAATAAGTACAATATAATGATGAACTTTGAAATGAATGCATGCACTTTTAACTCTATGTCAGTTATAATCATGGTTTTAAAACTCGGCCTGGTCCAGCTAGTTCAATCAGTTGAATCGAGAACTGGTGATTGAGTCGGGTCAGTTCAACTAAAAAATCAGAATTTTCAAATGACCCAATTTGAACTACGGTTAGATCGGATTTTTTGTAACGAATCGCTAGTCCAATCGGTTCGACCCAGTAGTTGAACCATTTTTTTTATTATTTTTTTATATGTCATATTGATGTTAGAATGATGCCATCATGCTGACATCACAGTTCGACCCGACGGTTGAATCGGTTTGACCGATCAACCCAATGACCTAACCTGGTTACTCTTCGGGTCGAGTTTTAAAACCTTATAAAGATGGCTACATGTCCCTTTGAAGAAGATATTAAAATAAAAGAGAAACAGTGTAAAACCCTAAATATTGTCACTTAGTTTTGAAACTATAAAGCAGAGTACGATAAGAACAAAAGTATGTACCACAAATTCAATATTAACAGCCACAAAATAATCACCCTGTATAGCAACTGTAGCGCTGTTAAATGTGCCGTATTGAGCTGCTGTCCCATTAAAACAAGAGTAATACTACAGTTACCAAAAGGAGCGCACCGAATGACGTGGCGCAATCCTGACCCTCGATTAATATTAACTCATAATTAATCCACAGTCAGGATTGCGTCACGTCATTCTGTGTATGAATTCGGTACGTTCCTTTCGGTAACTGTATTATTTTCCTTAAAACAAATCTTCGGCATGTCATTTGGGTCCCATTAAATTAAAACTATTTTAAAAATTAAAAAAAATATATAAATATAACATTTTTAATTATTTAAAATTTAAAAATTTTCCCAAAGCTATAATTTGTGGTAGAGATATTTAAGAATTTTGGAGATTTTTTGCTATAAAAAGATTATAGAAGCTAACAAGATATTGTTGATGTGCTTAATGTGGGTATATTAGTTTATATTTTATTTATTTTATCGTAGTAGAATTGTAAAAGAATGGTTTGTATTTAATTTTTATTTCTAGTAATTATTTGTAACATATTGTTAAAGACGTTACACTTAGACTCATGATCTCAATAATAATAGCATATATGTGTTAATATATTTGCGATTTATATATAAAAATGAAATTACAAGACTGCTTTTAAGTATTAAAATGGACAGTTCAAATTAAATCTTACCAAAGTTATTAGTCTTTGAAGCCCTAATATCCTTATACCAACCTATCCCCTTGTGGCCGAATGACGAGCCTTTTAGCCACCTGGATTAGTTATACTCAGGACTCAGAAGGTCTTGTCATGGAATCGCAGGAAAAACAATCACTGTGTTTACAAAATGTAGTTCTATATAGTTACACTTATACTAAGTGTTTCATTTGTGCCTCTTTATGTCTTTTTCAAATTTAATGGTACAATATAAGAATATCGGCAACTCAAGACTTTTATTTGTAATTATATAAATAATCACGACACATAATCAATTATATTTGTTATGCTTTCTAAAAAGAAATGGTGAGATCATATTGCACAAAAAAAAAAAAGAAAAGAAAAGAAAAAGTAATGCTAGACGTACTAGGAAATCTCACAAAAATTTCTATACAAAATAATGTAGCAGGAAATGAACAGAAGAACGAATACGATGAGTTTGAATTTTTGTATTTACTCTTCCATTCATTTTCCCACCATATCACTTTGTACAGAAAACTTTGTAAGATTTATTTATACATCTAGCATTACTGTATATCTAATATGATATCACAATTCTAAATTTTTACTATAAACAAAAAATCTAATATGACTCAATTAGGAAGTCTTTGTAAAATATGACTCCAATATTACTTGTTTCCTTTAGAAATTGATGTCTTCTTGGACCTCATCTCTAACTTTTCGTAGTGCATTAAGAAGCTGTAGTATAGTGTTCTCGTATTGCAAGAGAAAAGTATGCAATGTGATTGTTGCTTTGGGTGCATCTTTGCACGAGACAAGCTCTAGTACAGAACTATCCTCTTCAACTTCGTCTTCTTTGTCATTTCCTATCATGTTCTCAATAATTTGCTCCTCACTCAACAACGACCTCGTTTTCTCCTCGATAACGAGGTCGTAGTGTATTAAGAAGTTGTAGTGTAGTGTTCTCGTATTGCAAAAGAAAAGTATGCAATGTGATTATTGCTTTGAGTGCATCTTTACGTGAGACAGGCTCTAGTACAAAATTATCCTCTTTAGCTTCATCTTCTTTGTCATTTCCTATCACGTTCTCAATAATTTGCTCCTCACTCAACAACTACCTCGTTTTCTTCTCGATAAATTAATAAAATAATTTATTAATTTATACGATTAACTAATATAATGATTAATTAATAAATTTTCATGGTCCCAGAGATATTATTAATTTATCAAGGTTTAACTGTATTTAGTTGAATTTTAATTGGATATGTGATAGATTTTATTCATTCGAAGGCAGAATTGTGATACAATTTATCGAAAGAATTTGTACAAAGCAAAGATATAAGAACAAGGAAATTATTAAAGTCAGCAACATTAATGAATCAAACTAGGTATTCCATTTGTTCTAGTAGAATTTTTCATGAATAAGTCACATCTTAAGAGGTGGAAGGATCCATTTATTTCCATCAAGGAAACTTATGCTCAAAAATGGTTTCGCTTCTCCATCAGACAATATCTTCACGAATTTGGCTCGATCGGAAGAACTTGCCCCTGGTCCATAGCACTTGTATTCTCCATAATAAACAGGTCTACAACACATTCAAATTAACAAAACACAGAGTTTGTCACCAAGTTTTTAAGAATTAATATTATTGTTTAACTATGGAATAAGATGACAGAGGTAAATACTTGTGTTCATTGTCTGTCATGCCATCAGACCATCCTTTGCCAAGGATGAGACTGTCCATGTATGTGTAAGCATAAATCACCCTAGAACTCTGCTTCCATGCACGGCCAAGTTCAGCCTTACCTGTACCGGTTATGCTACACTGGACAAATACGAATCCACTTTCTTCAGTCTCGTTTTGTCTGGCGTGTGCTGTAATAAACCCGACGCCATTTGAAATTGATCTTATAGCAGTGTTCTGCATTAATATCCCAATTCTAAGGTCTCATTCACAGCAAAAATGTATATGCTAGCTATGAACATAATTCAGAATGTATTAATAATAATAATAATAATAAGAGATGTGGAAATACCAAGTATTGGGATTGGCCATTTCCGAAAATGAAATCCATGGTCCCTTCGATATAACAGTTTCTGAAGATATGTTTGCCTCTATCATCACACAATGTGTCTTGATAACCTATAAACTTGCAATTATCGAACGTTGCTTTATCTCCTGATATTCTCATGGCGACTGCTTGTGCACCAACCCTTTTTCCATCTGGCATTGGAGCTGAATTCTACAAGAAAAGATCAAGAAAGAAGTAGAAATAACTATATTAAAGGTAACCACAATATAGACTGATGAAGCTAATTATTGATGAACTCTCCAATGCAACACAAATATAATTAAAAAATGGAAGATAAAGTTCAAACTATGATGCGTACCAGAAATATAATATTGACGGCCACAAAATAATCGCTCTCTACAGCAACTGTAGCACTGTTCATCGTGCCATATTGAGCCGCTGTCCCATTAAAAATTATCTGCGGCATGTCTTTGGGGTCTTCCCCATACAACGTTATGAATCTCTTTGACCTGTCAATGGTGACCTTCTCCCAATACCAACCTCTACCGATTTTAATAATCACCCTATTAGTGTTCCCCTCTGCAATGCTATTTATTGCATCTGTCACCGTCCAAAAATTTCCACTTCCATCTCTCTTTACAGTTATAACCTTAACACCAGCCTCTGCCACAGCCAAAACATCATCCAGGTTTGAGTTCATCTGAACTCCGTCCAAGTTAGAGTTCATCTGAAGTAACTTACTTTTTCCTTCCTTGAATTTTTTGACATTATAGTCAATCCATTTGTTGAGTTTCAAATCATTCGAGGGAATAGGTCTGGTGTCGCAAATTACAATTGGGAAAAGCTGAAAGGAAAACAAAAACATCGTTAAGAAGGTCACAATAATGGTGAATTGTTTTGTTTCTTGAACCATTATTGATTTCTCTTTTATGATATACAAAATGAAATTTTATTGGGTATTTGTAAATATGAAGTAATAGTGTATGTAAAGTTTTTTTTTTTTTGTGATAATATTTAAAACAAAGTGTTCGTGAGTACATATTTATAACCTAAAATACTAATGTATGTGAAGTAGTTTTTTTTTACTGTTTTTGTTAGTTATCATATGAATGTCTCTTGTGAGAAGTTAAATTTATCAGTATAGCATTCTTAACTATTTAAAATTTATTTTTACACTGAGAAATGCACTTCTTAACTGGCATATAGCTATTACTATCCGAGTTAAGTTATTTAAGGAATTGGGAGAGTTTTTGCTATAAGAAGATTTTGGAAGCTGATGTTGTTATGCTTAGTGCGGGTATATTTTTTGGTTGTATTTTGAAGGTGTGAAATTATCAAATTAAGGATTGAGTAGTATGCGAAAAGGATGGTATGCATTGAATTGATTTTAGAGTCGATGAACTAATCCCCTGTGGTATGATATAATAACAATGATCCCCTTGAGGTTTTGAAAATAACAAAAATCCCTCTACCGTTAAGTTTTAGGTGTTAAAATCAATGTTTTAAAACCCAACCTAGGATGAAACCTGGCAAAGTTGCTGGGTCCCGAGTTGATTGGTTTGACCGATGGTCAAACCGGTTAACAAAAACTTCTAAAATTTAGCAAATACACCCCTAAAAATTTTTTAAGTCCTTGTAGGTTTGAAATTTAGCAAACACACCCCAAATACAAATTGGTTGGCAGCAGCAATACCCTAGATGCAACCCCAATCATCCCTTGAGCCCATTCTCCTTAAAATATACCCAAGATCTGGCCGAAATAAGTTTGATTTCGGCCAGATCTCACCGAAGCCGTCATTGGCATTCCTGGCCAGATCTCATTGACGCCGGCGTCGAAAACCCTTCCCATCACCTAGAAATACTCCCCTCTTCCTCTTGACCAAAACCCACCTCACCCCACCCTTGTTAGCCTCGCCAATCGCCCTTGCCAGTTTTGTTTGATTTCCGGTCGATTTACTCAACAGAAATCAACGCCGTCACCACCATTGCATTCACCGGCACTTTCTCTTCCAAAGCCCCAACATCCCGACCGTCAATTGTTCGCCAATTATCCTCCCAAATCCTAGGGTTTTGGGTGAATAAGAAAAATATAAACCCGGCCCGTTAAAGCTTTTGGGTCCTGGTTAAATCGGACAGGCCGAGACGAGTTTTAAAACATTGGTTAAAATAAACGGTAGAAAGATAATCTGGTAATATTTCCTAACTCATAACAGTTTAAATTTTAATGAGTTACTGATAGTTCATTAATGATAGGGGTTTTGTTATTTTTGAAACCTCAGAGGAGCTTTTTTATTATATCATACCTCAAGGGGATTACATCATTAACTCTTAATTTTATTGACGTATGTAGCAGGATTGTGAAAAAGATGGTCCATATTTAATTTTATTTTTAGTAATTGTTTCTAACAAGCTAAAAAGACCCTGCATTTAATATTATAATTTTGATAACCATGATAATTATGTTAATACATTCTTAATTATAATGTCACTATTTCTTTTTCGAAGGTTTAACAAATATAATTGATTGTTCCTAAGAATTACCTTTCGGAGTTTTTCCTTTGGTACAAAAAGATAAAAATCCATTTCAAACTTCTCCAAGACATCACAGTTTTTCAGCAAGTACTTGACCATTTCCAGATTGTTCTGTCCAGTAGTGGATCCAGAAATTCTTGCTAGGGTGGGCCAAAGTAAAATATAATAGCATATAATATTCATATTGTATGTTTTTAGTTGAAATTGACGTAAAAAGAAAAAAAATTACATATAAATATGTTTTTTTTTTAGGGTGGGCCACAATATACTCTAGATCCGCCCTTGGTTCTGTCCCTCCCGCATATGTTTGATCTAAATCACCTTAACACATCGCAAACAGCATGGCGCACAATGTCAAGTCCAATATAAGGAATTTCACCTCTCTTTTTGTGACCGGATGATAAACCCTTTAGTTATTAGGGTTAGCTGTATCCAAAAGTTTTGTGTTTGAGTCTCAGAAGAGGCACCTACTATATTTCTTTTATGTTCGAGTCGCAGGAGAGACATATATCATATCTGTATAATTATCTTAGATCATTGAACTTGTAAGGTGTTCTGTGATTCTGTTCCATTGCATGAATAGATGCATTCGCGTTGTCTGCATATGACTTTTTCATTATAATTGTTCCGACATTCACAAATGCCTCAATTAGGGAAGGTACGTTATCAACCACAAAACAAGCTATGTTATGAAATGAAATTTACATGTATTCAAAATTAGCCTATACATATTGAGGCATTGTTTATAAATTTATGTGTACAGAGTTTGTATAGGATCAACGACAATAGAAAATATAAACCATCAAACTGAACTTCCCGGATTGCAGACGCTTCTTGTTTGTGTGAAGACATAATATGAAATTCAAAACAGCCGGCAGAGAAGGAAGAGAAAGGAAGAATATGAAAAGTTATTATGTAAATGGCATCTGGATTGACGGAAACTAATGGAACCCAGTCAGACCAGGCTTTCACTCTTATCTACAAAAGACCATCCTCTCAATTTTCATCATCTTGAGGGAAGGAAAGGTGGAAGCACCACATCTTTAATCTTCTATATATGTGTTGAGAATCACAAAAGAAAAAAAAAAAAAAAAAAACAAAGGCAACCAAAAACATGAAAATGCATCTTAGAAACCCCCCACTCAAATCCTTCAACACTAGCCCTTCGAACAGTCGACGACGAAGATCTCCGACTTTCTTGCCGATCCAGTTCTTCAAAAGCGATGGTGGAAGAACAAGCACGGGGTGGAAGAGATAAGGGCAGAGCAAGTGGCCTTGTGGGGGAAACAGATAGTCGGGCTCGTGATGGTGGAGATGGTGAAAAACTTAACCTAGGTGCAGGGGTGATGATCCCGTTAAGACTTGGTGATCTTGACATCTGTTTACCAGCAATTACTGCCGGCTCTTGCAGAGGATACCGACAAGGGAATTTCATGTCTTGTATGGTTTTCAAATGGTCAACAATGGTTCTCATGGTGGGTCTTTCTGATGGATCCTTCTGAAGACACTTTAGAGCAATGTCGGCCACTGTCCGAGCTGCTTTGGTCGGAAAGCGACTTTTCAGCTGAGGATCCATGATGAGAGAAAGTCGACAGTCATCAGCAAGGAAAGGCCGGCTCCACTTAACCAAGTTCCTTTCGTCCTTGGGATGGCGGCTATCAAGATTCCTTCGGCCAGTGAGTAGTTCAAGAAGTACAATCCCAAAACTCCAAACATTACTCTTAGGAGTCAGCAAACCTCTCTCTAATGTCTCCACTGAAAGATTTGCTGCAGCCTTCACAGATCAAAAAGATGAAAATATAATCAAATCCCAGAATCTCAAACACAAAAATAAAGTCATTCCAAGAACCAAAAAAGTACATGAAAATTTAGTTAGAAATTATCACACCCGAAATGCAAGTTTTAACTTTTAAATCTAACATAACAAATCAACTTTATCATAGAAAGAACACAGCACAAGGCAGCAAAAGTACTTACAACAGAATTATTAGAGACATCTGTCTCAGGAATATGACCAACACAACCATATCCAGATAGCTTTGCACTGAAATCTTTGTCAATCTGTATGTTGGCAGTTGAAAATTCATTGTACATTGCCTGTAAAAAAATTTGAGAGATCAGTAATCACAAACAAGTACCAAACCTTAGCACATATAAAGACCATGATAATACCCGAGCTGTCAGAACATATATTCTAACCAAAGAAATAAATAAGTAAAGATGAGATTTTATATCAGTATCATTGCTGGGAAAATTTAGATTAAAAAAGCAACACAAGGTACCATTGGTTGGGTCAGTTAGTCTTTACTCGTCTCAAAATGATAATAAATTTCTGATTACCTGCATTGGCCCTTCTTCATGCAAGAAGGTAAGACCTTGTGCTGCACATAATGCAATTTTCATTCTGGTGTTCCAATCAATTGGGGGCCCATCTAATCTCCCAAATAGAAGCCGATCCAAACTTCCATGAGAAAGCTTCTCATATATCAGCATTCTCTGCTCTGAACCATCACGTGCATGATAACCGATCAACTTGCAGAGGTTTGGATGTTGCAAAGATGCAAGGGTGTTTACTTCACTGATAAATTCCTTCAAACACTGTAAGAACACAAAAAACATAGATATAACTTCATGGTCTCAGAAATTTCAGAACTTCAAGAAGAAACATTAATGCGTGATGAAGTTCTTCATGATCAAAGACATGAATAATTATTCAATACAATCAAGGTTCAATTGGAGCCACTGTTAAGGCAACACAGAATCAAAAATGGAAATAAATAAATGTTGTACACGCATGACTGCATCCAAATAACCATATTTTTATATGTTACCTGAGTGGATGGGTTAAGGCGTGTAACAATGGCGTCAAACTTCTTTGAACTTGAAGCATCTTCTCCTCCAAAGGAAGCCATATACATTACAGAAGAAAGACCTTCTGACATGCACCGGTCGGAGAAGAAATTATGGCAAGCAGCTGCAACTTCTTCGTATGGGTAGTTCCGAAGTGTTCCAGATCCAGCAGGAGGCAGTGGCAAAGGTCCAGAAGCAAACAGAGGTCCAGAAGCAAACAGCGGTCCAGAAGCAAACAGAGGACCACTGACATTTCCTGCTTTAAAGCTTCCAGTAGTCTTAAGTGCAGCAGCACTCTGAGGTGATGGAAGTGGAAGAGGTTTTGGACTTGAAGACCATTGTTCCTTCCCCAATCCAACTCGGCTCTTTGATTCTTCTTGCTCTTCATATTCACTTGCTGCAAGTACATCTTGTTCTGCCGCATCAAGACTAGATGGGGCAGATAATGCCCTTGATCTATTGTTAGAAGCTTTGTTGTTCGGTTGAACAGGCTTCACTCTATTCCTAAAACTTGGAGGTGCTGATTGGAGTGAGCGTGTTGGGGTTTGATGTTGGGGCTCAGGCAGTGTGGTGGGAGTATACTCCTGAGGATTGACCCTTTTAATATGAACAGTCTGCTCAGGTTTTTTCTTCCTACTCTTCAAAACTGTGAAACACCCCATTTTATGTACAAAACTACAAGGATTTATTGTGTTCCACTGTGATTCTGCTGACAGAAAAACAAACAATATCTGAATCAACCAAAGCCAAAATCACAACTGCGAGTTTGAAACACTAAGAACGCCAATAAAACCAAAAGAAAAACAAATTAACTAACACTATCATCATTAACAATTCATATTATTCAGACTTGAAAAATCTTAAGCAGAGAGAAAAACAGAAACTAATCTACACAAACAGCTTATACCCCAAAAATATTCACATCCACCGATAAATTCAATCAGCCCACTTGATATTTTTAATCAACAGAAAATCCCAGTTCTCCAGCCTTTTACCAAGTCTCATAAAAGAACAAAAGTTACAAGTGGGTAGGTTTAGAACAATTCCTGATCACCAGTTCTAGTAAAATTCAACAAAATTTAATCATTAATTTACTAACCAATGACCTAATTTTCATTACCCCGCAAGATTGATTAACATAATATTAGCACGATGTCAAAATCCCCGTTTTAACAAATACATAATTGAATTGCAAAAATTCAAGATTAAGCTGCATAACCATTAATGCTCTTCAAAAGAAGACAATAACCATATAAATCAGCATCCCACCAACTGAAGAAAAAAATCATAAATCAAAATAAACATATAAACCCAGATCCAAAATTAGCAGAAAATTCACAATTTCATTCATCAACCAATCAGCTAAACCCAGCAATTTCCCAAAACAATTAAATCACCACAAACAGACATACCATTTACGTTAACAAAACAACAACACATATTCAAACAAACGAATAAAACCCCGGATTTCTCCAAACACAAACCCTCAATTCAAAAACTATCAACAAAATAAAAATAATCTTACCCGGAAAAGAAGGAGTTCATACAAAGTCTAATAACTGAGGCGATAAAAAGGAAGACTAAACGGCGAAACTGAAACCAAAAACTTGTGGTATTGATTAGATGAGAGAAAAAATAGCTTTAAACAAGTCAAAGATGAGAAGTGAATGAGAGAGATTTTTTATTTTAATTTTTTTTTTGAGTTTTTGTGAGACAGAGAGAGAGAGAAAAAGTAAACAAAGATGAAAGAATATTAGACACAGAGAAGAAGAGAATGGAGCCCATTAGCAGTGGTCAAACCAACCATAACCCGGATTCAATTAATTAATCATAATTACAATTTTATCACACAGAATTGCCTTTACACTTTCCCACTTTACCATTTTACCCTCCACCTCCCCTTTTTTATTACTCCCCCTTGCCATTTTCCTTTCTCCCTGTTTTACTTACCACCAGGGCACGGACTGCCCGTTTCTCTTTTAAAAATTATTTCACGATTAAAGATTTTTTTTTGATAATTAGTATATTAATCATATTAATTTGTTTTGTCTAAAAAGCACGCTTTATATGCTTATAATATGCTTTTTATATTTCAAGCCCTACACTAAAGTATTCATACCAACTTATCTCATTTCAAATGAATGGACGAGAGCTTCTATGTGTCAAGACAACTTACAAAACACTCATTACATTATCAAAGAGTATAAATTGACAATTTTCTTTCCCGAAAAGAGGCTGACATATGAGAGCTAGAGATTTGAGCTTCATTATTTCTTTTTTCTCATCTTTGTATGCTTACGCAAATCAAGAAATCAGAAATAAAAAATAATAGTGGTAGATTTGTTTACATTAATACTATAAAATCTCTTTTAGTCATTATTTTATGTTGTACAAATATTCGCTCTATATTTAAATCTATGGATCATCACGTAATTTTTAAGACTATTTTATACTTTTACATGAGTGTTGCATCAAACAACGTAACAATTTGGAATATTAAAAAGGGAACGGGATTTTAACTTTTAAGGAGGTCCGTTTGGTCATTTAAGAGATGGGCGAGAAGAAAATTGGGGAGGGTTGATGTCTAGAATGGTAATTTTGTAGGACACCTCGATATTCAACGAAGAGCGCCTCGATCGAAGTGACAGGCCAGTCAAAGTTAGGAAATTAGTTTTTAAAAAAAGCATGTTTCCGGTGTGGTCAAAGAGACCTATCAATATAGTTGTTTGACTATTAACTTATCCCGTTAGATCTGCGCGTGGCTGAGAGATCGACGGTCAACATACATCACTTAAAAGCCCCACAGGGACCCACTGACATCAACAACTTTGTCTTCTAATGAGTACTAACTACCCTAAGCCCAACGGTGAGAACATTTAACACACATCACCGTCCCGGACCCTGAGTCCCTCAGCAGGCCCAAACTCTCCTTCACTTTATACTGTTCATCTCCCAGTGGCGGGAATAATGACAATTTAATCCTAGATTTTCTTAGTACCTTTAATCTTGTAAATATTTTAGTAACCCTTTCGCCTAAAGTTTGCTAATGACACTAGACAAGTAGGGGTACTTAACGGGCAGAGCCACTCACGAGCGGCTCAACTTGGCTCAAGTTTGGCTCGTTAACAGCTCGGCTCGTCAGATAACGTGCTAGCTCGACTCAATTCATGAGGACAAAACGAGCTGAGTTAGAGCCATATTCGACTCGGCTCGTTAGGCTCGCGAGCCGAGTTTGGCTAAAAAAAATTGAATTTTCTTTGAAATTTTGAATTTTTGAGAGTGGGCTCGCGAGCCTACTCGAACTGGGATCGATAAGCCAGCTCGAATATTTTCAACTCTTTTTCAAACCAAACCGAGCCATAAAATCTACGACTCAGTTCGGCTCGACCTCGACTCAATTAATAATTTTCTCTCATAGGCCGAGCTTGTTAAGCCAAAACTCGGCTCAGCTCGTTAACACCCCTAATGCCAGGGACCAAAACTTTACAGAAAAATCCTAAAAGACTAAATGACTTAAGCCAAAATTCAGGGACAAAATTATTATTTTCCCTAATGACCTATTGTCAATATGGGCGTGGCGGGCACAACTGAGTTAGGAGTTGGCGTGGAAGCTATATAGCAAGAGAGAAATTAAGTGTTCGTTTGGTTCAAAACTTTAGGTTTTTAGGAAAAGTTTTTTGAAAAAGTTAAAAAAAAGTTGAATGGGGCGGGTATTACGATGTAAGATTTACAAATTAATAAATACCCTCTATGTTTGTTTTTTTATAAACACCCCCTAATAAAAACATTAAAAGTTAACAAAAACACCTCTAACCCACTCTCAAATACGACAGCCGCCACCACCGCCGGAGGGTGGCCGGAGTCGCTGTAACAAAAACATTAAAAATATTTAGGGGTATTTAATTACAATTAACAAATTTAAGGGGTTTAAAAAAAGTTGAATAATATTATGAGTTTTTTGGTATTTTACTGTTTAACTTTTTGGGAATACTAAAAGTAGTATTCCAAAATCCAACCAAACAAGCCAAGGTGTGTTGTTTTGTCCGGTGAATGGGATTGGGACTTAGGGGGTAGGCATGTGGTGAAATTGAGATATATTTATGCGAGCACTTTTAAGCTCACGAACTTGAGAGTCGATACTATAGGCTCAATACTTGGCTTGTGTAATTATATGAACGACTCAAGCTCAAGCTCGGCTCGATATCGACCCAGTTGAGGTGAGCTTCTCGCTCGATGCACCCCTAAATGACAAGGACCAAAATGTTACTAAAAAATCAATAAGACTAAAGGTCAGCCAATTTCAGGGAAAAAATTGTAATTTTGTACCCATTGTCATATAGGTGTCGCATTTGACTAATTTAGGAGTAGAGCATGAATATAAAAAGTTAATAGATGGTAGTCAAGTTTTGGGTCTATGATTTGATGTTATTAGTCGATTATTTTGACTACAGCTATAGATTTGTAACATTTCAAACATTACTTGTCACATCTCATTCTATACGTGTAAGTTTAACCATAATTTTATTAATATGTTCAATTGTTTTGTCTTTACAATTTTATGACTTGTAAATGGAGATGACATTTCTCCACCACTCTCTTTTAGGTTAAGCGTATAATTGTAAAAAAACATTCTTCTTTTTGTATTGAAAGCTTATATTTACGGTTATTAATACAAATAAAAGATTTAGGTTATTCGAATTTATAAGTTCACAAATAAATAAAACAAAATCATTAAAATTACATGATATTTCTGCTTTAAACAAATTAATTTTTATTATCATATCCTTTAGACCCAAAGCAAATATAAGTACTTCCCAAAGTTGATTCTCCACTAGGCACAAAGTATAGTTTGCCAATGACTTACTTTAGGAATCACGACGGTGAATTGTTGTGGAATAGTTCGTTTAGATCAGTCGAGGTGGTGTGAGGCCAAACACTTATATATATATCTATATATATATATTATATATATATATATATTAATATATATATTAATATATATATATATAATATAAATAAATTAATTAATTATATTATTATTATTTTGGAGAATTCTTATCAAATTTCTATATAAGTTTAATATTTTGGAAAATAGTTATAAATTTATGTGTAAATGAAAAATTGATTATACAACCAATAAATTATTAGAACTAGGGGGTGTTTGTCTAAGCTTATAAGAGCATCTCTAATGATACTCTTATTTTAAAGGCATCTTTCTATAAATAAAGAGCATCTTCGTTAATTTTAAACATAAAGAACACAATTTTATTCAAATCCAATAGACTTTTTAAATTAATAAAGATACTCTTATTTTTTAAAAGAGACTTAATGGGAGAGAGAATTAATAAATAAATGATAGGAACTTGTAGTTTATTAATTAAAATTAGGATAAAGAGTGAAATTTGACTTCTAAATGTGGAGAGCCAAACTCACTCTCTAATTTATTTAAGATAAAGAGCCAATTGGACTCTGTTTTTATGGATAGGCTCTTTATAATAAAGAGTTTGTGTCTATAAAGAGTCATTTGGAGATGCTCTAAGCTGTCAAACTAGCTTATAAGCTCTAAATTAAACTGACATGTGTTGTTATAACTTTTTTAAGCTATAAACAAAAAAAAAAATAAGTTGGGGAGGGAGGTACTTTTTTTTTTTTTTTTTTTTTTTTGCATAAGCACTCTGTTTATAAGTAGTTTGACCAGATATTACCATATTATCCTTGTTAATTTAAAATTCTATAGATACCATGTTTATGTAGTACCCTTTTTAGTCATTTTATAATAAAATGTACTTATAAGTCACATTTTATCAAACACGTCAACTACTTATCAGTCATTTAGTATTTTAACAAAACAGTAATGCTTAAATTTCAAATGCTTATAAGCTAATTTTTATAAGCTTAAACAAACACCCCCTAAATCAAATAAGATGTTTAATTAGTTTCTTAATGTTTTTAGAACTTATACATTTATACAAATAAAAGATATTAAAATATTTCAAATCTTGAGCAAAATAAGAACATATTTGTAAATACTTCGTAAAGTTCTTGAGTATAATATGAACCATTGTTATAATTTTTTTTTAAATATTATTATACCCCTACGAAAAGATGGAGACTAAAGAGGTATCTTCCCATTTATAAAAGCGAACACCAAGCTTCAGTAGAGGATCCAGAAATTTCTTCAGGGTGGGCCAAAAAAAATTTATATACATTACTATTTTTATCCATATATTTTTGTTGGGTGGGCCAAAATATATAAATTATACATATTAATATTAAAAAAAAATTGAGGGTGAGCCATGCCACCCAAAATGTGGCTGATCCGCCACTGCCAAGCTTTAATGATATATTAGTTGATTCTTTAACTTACATATTTTGTTGTCTTTAATGTAATATTATATGAAAATACATTCTTAAAATAAAAGGTTTTTTCCTTATTTGAATGAATTTCTAATAATCCAATCAAAATCATTGAAAATCGAATAATATAATTTATTTTGTAATGTGGTGGGCAGATTAGATATTGTTGACTAGAGGCTAAAAGGGCCTGATCTATCACCCAAACTCAAAATGTCTGCAGCTCTTAGTCTAGACCTCAATCTTATTTGGGCCATATCCAATATCCATTAACCAGATATGATATCCATAATAGACCTACAGTTTAACACACACACACACAC